TTTGTAATATTATTAATGATAACAGTTACTTTTTTGGATAACGATAATGAATATAATCGTTACTTTTATCGTTACTTTGTATACATACAATAAATATGTATGAATGTACATATATTTTAAAAGGAGAAAGTATTATGTTTGATTATGTTGCGATTAATCTGTATAGATCTCGAACTAGTTAATTAATAATCAAGACTATTAGATGCCACTCTAAAAAGAGGATTATTAAAATTCGATAAAAAGATAACGGAAATGTAACGATTCGTTATTTTTTACAATATAATGATGAAACAAATATTATTTGTTAAAATAATTGATCAATAGCGACTAACAGTAATGAATTATTTTTCAGAAAAAAATCGATAACAAATTACTTTTGTAAAGTATATTATATACATATATTCCCAACTCTGTGATTTTTTGCTATCAATTTCATACCTTCTTTCTTTTTCTTTTTAGTTTCGGTGTATGTTCGTGCAGGGAGCTTACAATTAGAAGATCAAAATTTTTTACCGCCAGACTTTTAGCAGTAATTAACATATCTAATGAATACAACTGACATTCTACGATATATAGCGATAACATGTATAACAAGCGACACTCTGTCGTCGTTTAAGCACGCGACGTGATAATATTGGTTGGCGTGAAAATATAGCTATACTCTATAGTATAAATAATATATCAGAACTGTTTTGATATTTTTCACGACGCGATAGATGACTAGTTCTACTTCTATTAGAGGGTTCTATCACTTACGTATATCAAAATTTGAGTAAAATTATCGTGCACTGGAAGTTTTCTTGCGCGCTGTATCGGTTATCAATAAATTCAACAACTGATAATCAGTTTAAACACAAGCACTCCGTCTTGTTTATGTAATTCCCTTCGCACACGCATGAAATTTCTGCTTTTCATTTTATCGTTTCATCGTACATTAAAAGAAATCATTGTGAAATCTTGTTGAAATTTTGAAAAGTTAATTTTATACAATGCATTATAAAAAGAAAGCGATAAAATAAAAAATTTCTTTCTTTTCTTACTGTTCTTTTTTTTTTAATTTTAGATTATTCCTAAATAATATATTTTTTAGATGAAGTTTTGTAACCTCTCTTTTGTTTAAGAAAATATAATCTTACAATTAGATAGATCAAAAGAAAAAATTAAAAATACGTTTTTTTAAAAATTTTATTTAATTACAATTTATAAACTTAATAAACCTTCCAGGTCAAATTACAATATTATACAATAGCGAAGTTCTTTCATTGAATTATTTTAGCCTTAATTAACTATTAATGGTTTTCTTTTATATTGAAGTAATTCAAAACTAATAAATGTTTATTATATATTTTTATTATAATATTTTAATAATAGTTTTTTGTAATATTTTAATA